TCTGTGAAAAAGGCACTTTGGAGAGTGCACCATTGAATGTCCCCGCATCGGTGGTGGTAAGGTAGCACTCCTGACCAGGAATCAAGCAAGAAAAGTCAGACAAAAAATTAATTTGTTTTTACCGATCAAATACAAGGGAAACTCCGCAAAAAAAATACATATGAGGCAACTGAAGTCATCAGTATGAGAAGGATCATTCATCATGGGTTACCCGAAAAGGATAACAGTCGTTACAGTGTTCAGTTGCTTTTGAATCACCCTGTCTTATGGCTATATTCATGACAAGACAGTTACAATTTAAAAGTTTGGGACGCGAGCACAAAACCTTGCCCAGAAGTTGATAAGTAAAGGAAATAAGCATTTGGCGAATCGAGAAAGAACCTCATCGTGGCATCATTGTGGATTTCGTATCAACGCGACGATGACGCGATCTCGTTGGCGTGTTTTGCCGGCCTTCACGATGATCGAAATGTGTTTTCGTGCTGTAGGATAAGAGCTAAAAATATATATATTTCTGTGGTTTCTGTTTAGACGGCGGGATTCGGATTGCTTAGCGAATGAATGAAAAAATACGCCTGGTAGAACGTTTAACCGCCTGTTTTTGTTGACTTTTGTTCTGATGACCCTAGGTGACCTTAGGTGACCCTAGGTGACCAGAAGGTGGCGGCAGGCCTAGTGGAAGAGGACACCGTCATTTTTGGTCAAGGCGGTCGTGTCCTCCCAACAAATGACATTAGGACCTTTGAATCCCTCTCGATCTTTTCGTCATCGAGCCGTTTCGGTCGCATTCATCCCTTCGATAGGCAAATTCTCCTGGATTAGAATGAATGAATAAATGCAAGCAGACCTGTAAGCCGGTTGAGCTTCGAAGAATGCTTCCTCGTCCTCCCTCGCNCTTCCTCGTCCTCCCTCGCGGCCTTCATGTCCTTCTCCGCCTCGACGTCCTTCTGGGACCTGTTCACCACGCCGATGTAGCCTCGCTTGAGGGGGTAGACCTTGTTCTCCAGCACTTTCCGGGCGTCTGTGCCTCTGTCCATCAGGTCCAGCTTCGTCAGCACCGCGATGGTCCTCTCACCTGCAATCATAGTTACCTTTTTCGGTTAGGGGGCGGTCGGCGCAGGTTGGTGAAACGTTTCGATCGGACGACACGAAACCGGTCGATTCGTGAACCGAACCTTTAGGGTCCACTAGGCGGGCGAGTTTGAGGGCGTCGGAATTGGCCAGGTCTTCGGTGGCCGAGGTCACCGCCAGGATCAGTGTGTTCTCGGGCTGGACGTACTCTAGAATCATGGCCTGGATCTGAGAGATCATGTTTCGAAAATTGTATTTTGCCCGAGGGTCTCATTTCGATGCAAAAAAAGGACATTACGAGAAGAATGTACAGAACAAAGTAGGAATGTGCAGTGAGGTACATATGTTATACGTTAAGAGGTACAAACGTATGTCCTAAAATACGTTCGTTGAAAAGGTACAGAAGCAAAATGAGGTTCAGATGTGTACCTTTCTTATCTCTATTCGTTTCGGGCTTAGTTGGGTTTTAAAACCTGCTCATGGACCTCAATTATCAGCTTTGAAGGGAGCTTTAATGGCACCAAGTCTCTGACAGGCAGGGAGCTGTCACTGATAACACGCAGACAGCGT